CTTGATGTCGGCTGCGTGAACATATCAATGTAAGCAATCAATCACGTCACTAGTTTTAAAAATACAACTTCGCCGGCTAATGAATGCATAAAAGTGACCAGCTGGATATAAACTAATGCAAATAGATGGTAACAATTGCGACATAAAACATGTGGGTCAGGTCTGCGTGTGTTTTTGTCACATTGCTTTAATCGCTTGAGGTAAGTTAGCCGTTACTAGCCTAATGTTATTCCTCTCAGACTCGACGCCAAGCTTCTGTTCTTTCTCTGCTGATGCAGCATCTACTCAAAAAATGTATTACTTTATAATGATATGGCAATGTGTACTTAAGTGTTCTGTATCCATACCGTTTCGCTGTCTGTGTTTTAAATGCGCATCAAGTGCTCAGCGCTCTCCGTGAAGCTTGTAATCTCCGTGCTCGCGCTGCCTCACGTGTACGTAAACAACTCAGCCAGTGAGTTTGTTATGTGTCCTCAGGTGTCCTCTCGCTCTGTATAATGCTAGCAGTCTCTTCAGTGCTCTACTGTGTAATGACAGCGCACACTTCTCAGCCGCTCCAGCAACTAATTCATTTAAAAAAGTAACGGACAACGCGCCATATGGTAACGGTAACGGAGTTAATTTATTTAAAAAGTAATGCGTTACAGTATTAGTTACTGTCAAAAGTAACTGCGTTACAGTAATGCGTTACTAGTAACGCGTTACTGCCCAACACTGAAGACATTGTTGTGGTTTCTATGAGTTTATGAATCTAAAATCTTAACGTTTTATGGTATGCAGATGAATAATAATTCTTTATGATGTAAAAATAAGAATCCATCAATACTTAAAATAAATGTTGATGTTCACACGTGGACTAAATAGCTGTTAATAAACTATTGCTTTAACTGATCTCTAACTTCTTTAACTTAAGTAAACACAGAAATGAACCGATCAACTGCACTTTTCTCAGCGTGCCATGATTTCTTATTTTGAGATTTTATTGGTGGTTGTCAAACAAGAAAATGGTCTATTACCGCCACCGACTGGTATGAAGTGTGGATCAGAATGACATATTTCCCCTCCCTTTTTATATCCTCTCCCAAAAATGAGTAATTTTAAGATACTGAAAAAGATTGATTTTTGAGTTAGTGTATAAATTCCATTTTTATTTTTGCTAGATTTTTTTTATTAAAATCCTTCTTTCAGTCTCATATTTCTGACAGTATATTTTTGACAGCACAACATGTTCCGTTTTTTTTCTTGCCCAATCGTCCAAATCTTATCCTTGATATTATTATTATCTCATCTCTCATTTTTTCCTGCTCTTCTCATCTCTCCTACTTTCCTTTGAATTCTATAAAACCATTCGCCTTTTTATCCTTATTCCCATTGTTTTTGCCACTTTTTTTTTTACCTTTTTTAAAATAATACTCTTCATTTCATTCTGACTTAAACTCACTGATAAATTTAAGTCATTGTTTTTTTATGGCTTCTTTTGCTGCCTTATCTACTATTTCATTTCCTTGGATACCAATATGTGCCGGTACCCATAAAAATACTACTGTTAGGCCCATCATTTGAATTGTGTATAATGTTTGCTGTATTTCTATTCAAATCTCCGGAGTAACTAGCCAATGATGAACTTGAGTCTGAACAAATAATTGATTTCAAATGTCTTATCTCCTCTATCCAATGTGTTGCTAATAATAAGTAGCAAACATTTCCCCTGTATAAACAGATAACCCATCACTGATCCTTTTCCCTAATGGTAAATGAAATTCTGGAACAGTAAACGCTACTCCTATTTTATTGTCTAAACTCTTTAAAGTATCTATGTAGATCTGAACTACAGTGATATATGTCTGCATATTGAAGTACCTCCCTTATACTTTTTTTTTTTGTATCTATGTAAAATCGACAGTAGCGTCTAAAAGTAACATCTCCGGTTACTTAACGTAACCTCGGTTCCCTTTTGAGTTCGGTTCACTTGACATTGTGTCAGAGCTGACGCCGTCTATCCCCTCCTTCCTTGAATCTACTGAAGCCTTATGAAATCTTGCGGGCAAGAATTCGCCCGCCAATGACGTTCAATCGTGCAAAATAAAGGTGGCCTCCCCACACTATAAGGCAGCGCTAGACGCCATTGCCCCAGAATCTTTGGACTAAAGCAGAGCGCAGCTGACAAGACTTTGTGCTGTGTAACACAGCATCTTATGCAGTCTCGTTCCCTCCTCTCAGGGAACCGAGGTTACGTTAGGTACCCAGAGACGTTCTCTTTCGAGTTCGGTTCACTCGACATTGGGTCAGAGCTGACGCTATGGGGATCTCACAAAATCCTGCCGTGTTATTAGCGAAGGTCAAGCTCAGCTGCAAGCAAAGCCATTTACCTCAGCTAAAAGCACTTCATGCAACGGAAGACCTCAGCGGCATAGCGGCTAAAAGAGCAAGTTGCACAAGCTTTATACTACTGCAAACACATTGCAGAGTAAAGGACGTCACGTCCCTGATTAACTATACAATTTCACCAGCATTCATGCTGGCACTTATTTCCAGAGGCTGCATTGACAGCAGCCATTCTCTGCCACAGACACTTGGTGAATGAACAATGTGGCCGACGGCACTATCGCCTAGCACGTTAATTCCAGAGCATTATGTGACATCCACAGTGTGAGCGCCGGCACCATCACAGTGTGCTGGGGCAGAATAACCCAAACAGCAGCAATGCCAACACTTTTCTTCGTGGAAGTTTTGAATTTGGTGAGCTAATAAAATATTAAAACTCAGTCAAATCAATATTTTTTGTACAGTTATTTAATTATCCCATCCAGTATCGTGGACTACTCTCTCTCGTTTCATACAAACACAGCTGCTGCCATTTTGTGACTTATTTTGTAAACTGTTGGATTATAAGAGACAAACAGGTACGATTTTAAAACAGTTTAATCTGAAATCAATATCTCTTATCCATAATTATTTATGTGGTGAAATGCTGTGTAATAAGTGGTATGACTGTATACTGTATCTCTTAAATGTCCGTCTAGTTTGAACTTGCCGCGCTAGCAACTGCTCTCTCCTCGGAAACTTTGCCTTTAAAGACCTAATAAAATATTTCAACTCAGATCAATATTTCGTGTCTATTTATTATAGATAATGGACATCCAGCCAGTTGTTATCTCAGAATATACCCCTGACAGGGTGATGAGGACCCCGACGCGAAGCGGAGGATGTACATTATCATCAACCGGCTGGATATACAGTATCCCTTACGTATGAAATTCCAAAGCTTGCCGCAGAGGTGCACAAGGCGATCCGTGATCAAATCCTGGTTCAAGATTTGGGCTCTCTGAAGCCAGCTTGTTTGTTCACAAACTTTAGCCTCTAGTAACTTTTTACCAGAGCCGGACAGTAACGGAGTACATTTACTTGAGTACAGTACTTAAGTACAATTTTGAGGGATCTGTACTTTACTCGAGTATCATTTTTGGGGAGTACTCATGACTTTACTCAAGTACATTTGAGAGGCAAATATTGTACTCTTTACTCCAACACATTTCTATCCATAACCGTGAGTACCCGAGTAAAAATTGTGCAGGCGCCACTGATTGGGACAGATTGGATTGTGCAGGCGCCACTGATTGGGACAGCCTATCAGCAATCACTTTCAGCTTTCCGCCAAAGTCAACTCCATGGTCAGATTTCATATTACACATTAATGTAAGCCAAGCATTTGGTTTGATGTTCTTGAGTATGTGGTGTGTTTAACACAGTCAGGTTCAAATGTGGCAGTGGCGTAGCCACGAGGGATTTCTGATTTCTTAAAAAAAAAACTTTAGGAGGCAAAATATATTTTTACTGATTATGTGAATTACACTGCGCAAACCAAAGTAGGCTACTACCCAGCGAATGAAGAAGGGTTGGCGCTCAGTCTCCACAGTACATAAAATATTAATTTTGTTTTATTTTCTTTTTCGGGTTTGCATTTATGAGGAAAAAACAATGTTATGGACGTGTTCTCCGTTACGGACGTGAGCGCTCTGAAAGCGGCATAAAAAATGCTTTAAAACTTTCACAGAGACATCAAACAGAAAACACAAAACCTTTCTTTAACCTGAATTTCGTTTTGCATTAATTGTATCTTAATTTTAATCAATGTTTCATCAACCAATTGCCTGGGTTTAATAAATAAGATGTAAATAGCAGACGATAGATAAGAAACGGAGGCACCGGCACGTGAACTGGATCTAGTCTCATAAATGAACCGAAACTCAGTGTATAAGGTAGCCTACTTGCCTCTCACAGACATGTCTACTTTTAAACAGAAAAATTCCAAACGAAAGAAAACAGACTACAGACTGTTCTCTGCTTATGTAATCCGTATGAAATGTGCATTTCTCTCTGGCACGTTCACTACTGAAGATCGCAAGTCAGCATCGTCAACTTCATCTAGCCAACACTGACAAAGAAAACACTTGTTTATTAACAAGTGTTTATTAATAAACAATTAAAATATCTCCTTGCTATATTTTACATATTCATAATCATTCCTTTTGCCGGTTCTTTGTGACAGCTTTTAGGTGCTTTATTGGCAGTGCCACCCTTACATGTGGTGTGTGTGTGTGTGTGTGTGTGTGTTTTCCCCGCATTTAAAGATGGGACCCCCCAAAAATTTAATTTAATTAAATAAAGCAACATGGTGAAAAGATGAAAATGACTTGATTTTACTTTCGATTCCTTTTACATTCTCCAAGGTATTAACATTAACATTTTTCATAACTCCATGTAGGACGTTTCTGTGCATAAATGTAAGCACTGTGGCAGTAGATTAGTAATGCAATATTTAGAAAATCTACTCTTGTACTCTTGATACTCAAGTACTTTTAAAAACAAGTACTTTAGTACTTTTACTTAAGTAGACATCTGAATGTAGTACTTTTACTTGTACTTGAGTAAAATTTAACAAGGGGTAACTTGATTTTTTTTCAGTTGCCCTTGAAAAACCTTCTCTGTTTCTTCTACAGGTGGTCTAGCTGCAGTCATCTACACAGACACCCTGCAGACCGTCATCATGGTTGTGGGATCATTCATTCTCATGGGCTTTGGTACGTTCATTCACTTTTGTTCTGTACTTTAAACGTTTTGGGTAAAAAAAGTCTGCTAAACGACTACTTGCTGCTTCAACATGTTCCGTTTTCTTTCAGCGTTCAATGAGGTCGGAGGCTATGAGAACTTCAAGGACCGCTACATGAATGCGATCCCGTCAGTGGTGGGTGCAAACATCAGTGAATCGTGCTACACCCCTCGTGCGGACTCATTCCACATTTTCAGAGACCCTATTACCGGCAATCTGCCCTGGCCTGGAATGGTCTTTGGTCTTACTATCCAGGCTACCTGGTACTTTTGCACTGACCAGGTACTGATCCATTTATCAAGTTTGCTGACGCATTTTTGTGCAGTAACACTTTCTAGATTGTGGCTACCTTCTCGTATTGCTTTATTCTGTGCATAAAAATATATATTTTTTAGGACATAAGAAGCATTGTTTGAGAAAATAAGATGTATATATGTCCTACGTGTTAGACATGCACACATCATTCATACAACTGACATGTCTTCTGTGTCCACTTTTTGACAAACTGCATTTGAGTTTCTCAGGATGAACAGTGTGCTTCTTGTTTTAGTCAGAGCGAGTCTAGCTTAAACAGACATGCTTTTAGTTTGACCACTGATTAGGCCCCACTAAATAAGATAAGATACACAAACAAGCAGGTATAGACTCACCACAGTTAAGTTAGTTCAACAGCCAATTAACAAGACTTAAAATATAACTGTTTCAGACTCCCATATTTGGTTGCCCTAGTTTGGTAATTGGGTGATTTAGGTGACATCGGTAAACATTATCAATATTTTTGCTTTAAAAGATGCATGAAAACATAAACAGATTCACTCATGTCAAATATATTGAGATTTTATTCTTCTAAGGGGAGTTTATTTTTTAGTGATTAATTTTTCCAAAAAAGTCTTATCCGTCATATCGGCAGATGTTTATGTTTTCACAAATAGTATTCAATAATCTTTGTTTGTACTCTGGCACTATAGAGAAAAATATAGCCATAAAAGTTTATTATAGTTCATGACGTACATTACCTGCATCTCAACAATTGTTTTATTTGCGTCTGTTTTTGTTTCTCTATGGAGTGGTGATTCTGGATAATTTTAACCTGGGGTGCCACCGTGCCTGATATGCTTAGGCGGGAAATTATGATACCCTAAATGTCCTAGTATTATATGAAATATATGTATAAACGCAATTTTGAACAAAATGACAAGAAGAAAAAAATCAACAGAAATGTAAAAAAGGGTAAAAAACATCCCTCGTAAGAACATTTTAATGTTAAATTCATAAATCTGGTGAGATTAAAAAAAAAATCTTTGAGAGTTTAAAATTAAAGGTATTGTAGCTAGGAATTTTATAAAAAAAACTTTTTTCCAAATTTGTTTAAACTTTCTGTATATATCAATGCATAATTAAAATGTAAGTACTCTGATAAAAAGAGTATAAAAATCGATTGACTCTAGACCGTTTAATCTGCACTAAACACAGCTCATTATTTCCATCCGGGACGAAACAAAGGATTGGCTTAGGCGACTGTCACTCTCTCGCAACCATGGCAACCACCCTTTTGCCACACAGGACCTGCCCACTTGCGCGTATCCGTATATTCTATGATTCCTCCAGGGAGGACCTGCTTTCACAGAGACAGGACATCATATATCACCCGCGCCATCACCTGGAGAACTTAAGTGACCTACCTCCAGCGATATTTGACACTATCACTTCAGCTAGAGCTCCCTCATAGAGGCGCGCTTATGCTTTGAAGTGGAGTCTGTTCGCTGAGTGGTGTTCTTTCCGATTGGAAGACCTCTCGGAATTGCCTGATTGGCTCTGTGCTTTCCTTCCTTCAAGAGGCCTGGGAGCTGAGGCTATCTCCCTCCACCTTGAAGGTGCATGTCACCGCCATTGCAGCACATCACGATGCTGTTGATGGCAGGTCGCTGGGAAAGCACGACCTGGTCATCAGGTTCCTGAGAGGCGCCAGAAGGTTAAATCCTCCAAGGCCTTTCAGATCATCCTTTCAGGTCTACAGAGAGCTCCCTTCGAACCCCTTGAGTCAGTTGAGCTCAAAATGCTTCTCTTTGAAGACAGCATTCCTGACCGGAGCCGGTCTCTTCCTGTATGTTGGGTACAAACAGGTAATGTGCGGGAAGATTTGCTCTGTGTCTTGCTCTGTGCTCTGAATCAAGTTCCAACATCCTTCGGCAGTCAGACGCGGCGGGCCCAGTACTCTGACACCAGGCCCAGAACTTGTGTGCATGCCCGGACGGTCAGCCCTTGTACTGGGCTACTGTTTCCTCCTCAGTAAATCTGTGTCTCTTCCTGGGCGGTTCTGCTCTGCCCTGTCTCTGCACCGGTAGTAGCTACTACCTGGCTAGGTAGGACCTACCGCAGAGATCTTCCATATGTATCACTGCCCCAAGAGTCAGTCCATATGTGTACCTCCACACATTACCTCCCTTCGGGCAGGGTGTAGTCTCCGTAGCGTTCCCCTCCGTTGGGACTGGGCACGCTTCCCCAGCGGTATGGTCATGGCTGAGAAACATTGGGAATTGAGTTCCAAAGCACTCTTCCCTGGGGTCGGAACAGCAGCTTCGACCGTCCCCAGAGTAAGACCCTGTCCCTTCCATCCTCTTTGGAATGAAGGACTACTTTCACGGGCTTACATGGGGCGCTCGGTAGGTTACGAAATTGTTAGAGCAGTTGCCAAAAGGGCACGCCGTAGCTTGCCATCATCTGCATCTCCAACACTAGTAACACAGTTCAGTGGCTGTGACATTTTCTATAGGGACGTAATGTCGAACGTGACTGACTAAATGGGAACGTCTAGGTTACTAATTTAAACCCCGTTCCCTGAAGGAGGGAACGGAGACGCTACGTCCCCCCTGCCACAGCCCTGAACCACCGTTGAATGGCCGGGATCCTGTCTCCTCCGCAAAACATGAATGAAGTGAGTAATGCCAGTCTTATTTATAACCGTATGCCAGTCTTATTTATAACCGTATGTTCGGGTGGGTGTGACTCATCATGCCAATCTCATTGACCAATGTTCATTGGCTCGTTCTGTTACCACTTGGAGGTGATTGGGCTCCCAGACGAGACCCCATGACGTCAGTCTGACGTAACGTTACATTAGTAACTTAGATGTTCTGTCTCTTTACATGCTTTTATAGATCTGTCAGGTGTTATGGGACTAAACTGCTCTGTGTGTTTTTGAAGGTCTCAGAGGCTTGATGTTGTCTGTCATGCTGGCCTCTCTGATGAGTTCACTCACTTCCATCTTTAACAGCGCTAGCACACTCTTCACCATGGACATCTACACCAAGATCCGTCCCAAAGCCAAAGAGAAGGAGCTCATGCTTGCTGGGAGGTGCGTTTTTGTGTCTGTTTGTGTTGCATATTGATTTTCTGACCTTGTGAGCAGAAAATGATGTGAAAAGGCTCTTGAGATGCCTGTGTTCATGCATACAGGTTGTTCATGCTAATTCTGATCGGCGTGAGTATTGCGTGGATCCCCATAATTCAGTCAGCTCAGAGCGGCCAGCTTTTCGACTACATGCAGTCCATCACCAGTTATCTGGCTCCACCCATCGCCGCTGTCTTCACCCTCGCCATTTTCTGCAAGAGAGTAAATGAAGCAGTGAGTCAGTCCTTCACATTTTACAGTTTTATATATTTTGCTTTGTATCCATTTATATATTTTGGTTTATATCCATTTTGCTTGTTAAATTCAGCTGGATATTAATAATATTGATAATATGTTTTCTCTCAAAACCGATTTTTTCCAGAAAATCAAAGTCTTACCGTACATTTTTTATCTATTGATACATAGTGTTGATATTCCCTCACAGGGCGCATTCTACGGGTTGTGTATTGGTCTGTTGGTGGGTCTGGCGCGTATGATAACCGAATTTGCCTATGGCACGGGCAGCTGCGTGAGCCCCAGTAACTGTCCCACGATCATCTGTGGTGTGCACTACCTCTATTTTGCACTGATCCTCTTCGGCCTGTCCTGTATATTGATATGGGGCATCTCCCTCATGACCAAACCCATTGACGACAAACATGTAAGCTCTTATCATAACAACACTACTACAACTTTTTTTTTGGACAAATATTAAATATTCTTATTTCACTTAAAATACACATATTATACACATACTATAACATAACAATACAGTTCAAAATTTTGGGTTGAAATTTTTTAATTATTACATTTATTAAGAAAGGATGCATTAAGTTGATCAATAGATAGATAGATAGATAGATACATAGATTGTATCTATGAAAAAGCTACTTCTCTGTCACAGCCCCTCATTCTGTGGCCCCTTGTTGTTGTGCAGCTGTACAGGCTCTGCTGGAGCTTGAGGAACAACACTGAGGAGAGGATAGATCTGGAGGCAGATGACTGGACTGATGAACAGGATTCCAGCTCTATGGAAACAGAAGGTACGTCTGCACAAGCCACCAAATTCATAATCATTGATGGGTAGCACAGGTAACACTCACCGCTTTTGTGTGCAACGTGCATCATGTGGTTCAGTAAACGGACTCTGGGTGTCTGTGGGTGGGCCGTCTGATGCTGAGACTAGTTTATGGCTATGATTAATTGACTATATTGTAGTTTTTTCTAGGAAAACAAAGGATGTTGGTTCAGAAACATGTCTTATTTGTGTAAATCACATTGCACATGTAACATATTAGCTTTTAATAACCAATAACAACCGTTTCCGTTCATCTCTTGACCCTGCAGAGGTGCGTGAGGAGCCCGGCTGTTGTAAGAAGGCCTACAACTGGTTCTGTGGCTTTGACCAAGGCAATGCCCCTAAACTGACTAAAGAACAGGAGGCGGAGATGAAGTTGAAGCTCACCGACACCTCTGAAAAACCTCTATGGAGAAACGTGGTCAACGCTAACGCTGTTATCCTCCTCACCGTCTGCGTCTTTTTCCATGGTTTCTTTGGTTAAAGATCACATCAGTATCATCTAACTCTGTTAAGGATATTAGACCTGTGTTCTGTGGACAGAAATGTTACCTTATCAGTAACATCAAGCTAAATGTGATTAATCAGATTGTAAGAGGTTACAAAGTTCCTCTTGAAACACTCAATACTTCCTTATAATATCCTCAACAAAACCCCTTTCTTCCTTATAGCTGCTTACTGTACTTTGATTTGATGGAAGGAACTACAATATATTGTATTTTTTCTGTACTTTTAAATGAATGTACAGGGCCGGCCCGTGGCATAGGCGGTATAGGCAAATGCTAAGGGCGCCACCACTCAAAAATGAGTGAACGAGTTAATTTTTTTTTTTTTTTTTTTATCATTAATTCGAAATACTACAAAATAAAACAAAACAACTCCACATAAATTAAACTAAGTCCCCCGACTCCGGTCCAACGCATCAATCTTCCCCCGCCCAGCGAGTGCTTGAAGTGCGTCAGAAACAGAGCGCGCGCGATCAGTTTACTGTTGGTAATTTGTTGTGTAGCGTCGCCCCTCGCCGCATCCAATGTAGACAGCATTGCTTTCGTTTGAGGGCGCTTAACACACTCAAGCACTAGAAACGGGCCTGGCAGCTCGCGCCAGGTCTAGCCACGGTGAAAGTTACCTCATTGTGACGGATGGCCGAATTTTCATGACACATTTAAATTAGCATTATAGCCTGCGATAGATACAGTGCCAAAGAGAAGAGGCTACAAGGGGATAAAGACAGAGGTAAAGTGATGTAATGAATGAAAAGTTTATCTAATTGCATAGTAGTAAGATACTATAATTTAATGGCAGTTATTTTTACCTTATAACTTTATGCTAACAGTAGTTCTGAGTTCTTCAGAGCCCCCAGACAATGCGATTTGTAACAATCATGTCAGTCTTTTTTAGACGCATTTACTATCACTTTTATTAATTAATGTTTTACTATACAGTTGTGCAGTTTTGAGGTGAATATATGGCATTTTTTAAAATTTATTTGCCAAAATTATTAACGATATTTATAGGCTACAGGTTTATTATGTTTTATGTAAAATTCACATTAAAGAATTCAATTCAATTCAATTCAAAAAAGCTTTATTGTCTATCCCCACAGGGGGGTAGAAAATTGTCTTTAGACAAGGGCTCAACAAACAGCACAATACAAAAGACAACCACACTATTTAAGATACGCCTCCCCCCCTCCTCCCCTCCCCTCCCCTATTTCCTCTTTAAAATATCAATGGCAGTCGGAATAAAAGTCTTCTTATACTTGGCCTTTTTCACCAAAGGTACTTTATATCGTCTACCAGATGGAAGTACATTAAATGAACTATGCAGGGGATGAGTAGAGTCTGTCACAATAACAGACGCTTTCCTTTTCACTGCCGCAGTGTAAAGATCAGACAGAGTTACTTGTTTCTCACCAATAATTTTACCAGCCATAATTATAATCCTTAACATTTCGCAGTTTCATTTCGCAGTTTCATTCATGTAGAAAACATGAACCGTGCCATAATTTAGTGGAAGATTGCTGCCATCAACTCCCAAACAAACACTTTTGCTAGTGCTCATTGAGTAGTTTGTGCATGAATGAGATTTGGACGATGACATCACTGTTTTATCCAGAGCAAGCTATATATAAATTAGATAAATTAATATTTTTTTACAACAAAATAAACCATCACTGAACATACTTAAGCTTGATTATGACACTATTTTCTTCTAGATCTGCTGTACAGGAGAAGCAAACTTTGTTGCATTATTTTCCTGTTATCACTGTAAAGCTGCCTTGAAATAATCTGTATTGTAGGCTAAAAAGCGCTATATAAAAATAAAGGGGACTTGAATGCTAGATGTAATGCTCTTGCTATATATATATATATATATATATGACTAAATAATCACCAACACAATGATGGGGTGAAATGGGCTGTAATGCATGGGGCACCAGGTAAAATCTTGCCTAGGGCAGCAAATTGGTCAGGGCCGGCCCTGTTAATGTACATTGTTTTTAGCACCTGATCATTCATATAGCTAAATCCTTGTTTTTCGTCAAATCGTTCTTAGCTGCTATCAGGCCCGGCACCACGAGGGAGCAAAAGGAGGCATTGCCCCCTCAGATCTGATTTGTGCCCCCTCAGTTTCATTTTTGTATTCATGATTACAAATTAAATGTTTAACCTTTTGAGTGGTACGGTCCCATATATGGGATTTTTATTTCTGTGGCCCTGAGAGTACGGTCCCACATATGGGATTTAGAATGTTCTGTGGCGTCACATAACTGCCAGATTCAAACTGTGCTTTCGCGCGTTGGCTGGTGCTGAGCCAGAGGCGGATGAGCTCAGCGCTGTCATTTATCACAACTATGCAATGTTTTAAACCTCATAATGTTTATTTTAGGTTTCAGACATTTAAATAGACATAAGTAGTAGTAAAACAATACATTTGGAGTTTGTAAAATACACACTGATATCTGTGGAAGCAGCAATAACAATCTTTTCAAATATAATTTGCCGACGTGTGTTATTCATATCAGACAAACATAGTGGAAGTAGGGCCCGAGAATAATTAAATATCAATATATATTGCAACACATTCTCATCCCAAGGCGTCATCTAACTGACACTTTTGACCATGCGTCAACATGCCGACGCACATGGTACCCCTTAAGCGTCAATATGAGACGCTCATCCTCGGGCGTCATCTAACTGACGCTTTTGACCATGCGTCTAAATCTGACGCACATGGCACCCTTTAGCGTCAGTTAGATGACGCTTCCGTTATGGGTAGGCTTAGGTCTGGGGTAGGGTTAGGATTAGACCACTCGGAGACGCGTCTCATATTGACGCTTAAGGGGTTCCATGTGCGTCGGCATGTTGACGCATGGTCAAAAGCGTCAGTTAGATGACGCCTTGGGATGAGAATGGGCTGTATATTGCGATATAATTTTTTTCAATAACAACGTTACATGTAAAGTCCAGTGACAAATGCTGTAATGTATATTGAAATATCGGAAATGTGTTTAAAAATCATATCACCGTTATTGAAAAATTGACTGCGTGTTCCCGGGGGCAGGGTTTATGTAAATGTTGGGGTTTGTGATGTCACTAACCGGGAGGAATCTCGTGTAGTCCCTACCAGCCGTTTGTTGTAGTCCTTAAAAAAATTTTCTTTAAAAGCAAATATCTTCCTTTGTTTTGAACTTTGAGCATTGTAACTTTGCGTGTAGGCTATGGGTCAGCCAATCTGGTTCCATCTGTTAAAATTAACTTTTGCAAATAACAATCGCGGTCCTGGACAGTGGGTGACCTAACACATTAAGATAAAATCTGATTTTCTCCAGTCATTGTTAAAAAACAAGCTAACAAAACTTGCTAACTAGGGTTAGTGAAGCGGCCAGAGGGATCGTTCTGCCTCCACCTAAGCTCCGCCCACAAAAAAACGTCACCATGTTTACCAACTGAAAAGGGGTCTATACAACGGAGACTTTAATACTCTGGCTTAATGGCAAACATTGTAAGATTTCAAAACAATTCCACACGTATAGCAGATATGTTGAAAACTATTTTAATATGCAAAACTGCTACACAATCATAGCTGTGGGCGTTTACTTCCAGGCATGGATCGCTGAACGTACCAAAAGAAAGGGGGAGTTGGATCTGGAAGTATTTTTTTTTTTAAAGCCATGAGCCAAATCAACCAGGTATGAGGTGAATCGCAAAATTACAAAATTATTTGAAGCAAAAAAGTATTGCAAAATCAGACAAAAGTACAAGACTGCGTAATTTTAATGATGGAATGAACGATAATCCCATGAAGCATTGCCCATGAAGACATGAATTAAAAAATATTGGATAAGTGGGCAGGTGCTAAACTGTTCTTTTAGTGTAATTTGCTTGTTGTGATTCCCTGACTGGTGGAAATTTCTCTGCAGAGTCTTGGGTAATGCTGTTTTTCCAGCAAGAATTCCACTGTTAACAAATGCAATTCTTAAGGCCACAGAATGCAAGTAAGTTTCGCCACTTATTCAAAACAATAACAAAGGCGTAGCTTGACGGCGCAGTGAATGAATGTAGAATCATGGGAGTTGTCGTCTTCACCTCCTCCACAGCCGATGGAAAGCAAACCGATGAAACTCCGGCAGAAATCATGTTCATGGATGAGCTAATGTATTAAAGTTTTATTAATGTAACTGTGGTATGAAGCAAGGGGGCAGAGAGCCTGGGACATTTTACATAGCTGTTTTTATTATGCTTATATGCCACATTCGGCCGCTGCCGCTTATTTCGTTTTTGTTTTTTATGTTTATTTTACGAATAAAGTTACGTTTAATGTTCTCCTCCTTCTTCCCTGAACTTTGTTAGATATTTTGATCACTTAAATTCACATTATTTTATTTCATTCAAATGAAATAGCAGCAAGTGTTGAATTACTACTCATACAGGTTACTTTATTTGACAAATTAAAATTGTGGGGTGACGCAGAGCTGTTTTACTTGGTCAAGACTTGGGTAATCAAGAAAACAAGAGATTTAAACAATAAGACTAACCATGTTGAGCTATATAACAATGATTAGTTTTCTGTCAATAAAACTATCCAAACAGTTGCTCCACTGTCTAATAAAACACATAATATTTTAAAGCGTCTCTGGGGTTTCCATGGGGGGTTTCCACCTCAACTTTCTCATGTGGGCAAAAACAACATCTCGATGTCTAACCACCAGATGCTCCGATTGAGCTAGAATCAACCAATCGTCGATATAGTTTAGTATGCGGATGCCCTGGAGTCGCAGTGGAGCCAGAGCTGCATCAGTGTGAGACGTGACAAAGCTAGGCTGAAAGGAAGAACTCAATATTTGTACGCTTCGCCCCCGAAAGCGAACCTCAGGAACTTCCTGTGTTGTGGAAGGATGGAAGGAAGTATGTGTCCTTTAGATCTGTTGTGACAAACCAGTCCTCAGACCTGATTGTGACCAGATTTACTTCAGAGTTAGCATTTTGAATTCGAGCTTCCCTACAGAGCGATTCAATCGCAGATCTAAAATCAGACCTAAAATCCGAGCCACTTTAAGACTCTCCTCCCTCAAAAAGGAAGCCAACAGTAGAGCTAAAACTCCCGATAGTACATGTTCTTTTCTACATGTAGGGAATTTTTTATGAATGAACACTGTCAGCCCAAACAAACAACACTTTAATCGCATGTATACCCTCTCCTAATGTAGTGAGG